TATCTCAAAACATATAGAGAGAGAAATTATCTCAAATTTTAAATTTTAGAGAGAGCATATTAAAATTTTAGAGATTAGAAGTTAGATCAATTTTTATATAGAGACATTACCTGAAAATTTTTAGAGAGAGAAACTATACCAAATTTTAAGTTTTAGAGAAAGAAAATATCTTAAAACTTTAGAGAGATAAACTATATCAAATTTTAGATAGAGAAAGTAACTAAAATTTTTAGAGAGAGAAACTATTTAAAAAAATTTGGATAGAGAAACTATCACAAACTTTGAGTTTTAGATAGAGAACGTATATTAAAATTTTATAGAAAGAAACTACTTGAAAATTTTAGAGAGAGAAACTATGTAAAATTTTAAGTTTTAGATAGAGAAAATATCTTAAAAATTTAGAGAGAGACTATATCAAATTTAAGTAGAGAAAATACCTGAAATTTTTAGATAGAGAAAGTATTTAAAAGAATTTAGATAGAGAGACCATCTCAATTTTTAAGTTTTAGAGAGAGAAAATATATTAAAATTTTAGAGAAAACTACCTGAAAATTTTAGAGAGAGAAACTATCTCAAATATTTAATTTTTAGATAGAGAAAGCATCTTGAAATTGTAAAGAGAGTAACCATATCAAATATTAGAGTGAGAAAAACCAAAAACATTTATAAAGAGAAACTATCTTAAAATTTTTAGCAAGAAAATTATCTCAAATTTTAAGTTTTAGATAGAGAAAATATCTCAAAATTTCACAGGAGAAACTATATCAAATTTTAGAGAGAAAAAGTACATAAAATTTTTAGAGAGAGAAACTATCTCAAAATTTTTAGAGAGTAGACTATTTCAAATTTTAAGTTTTTGAAAGAGAGTGTATTAAAATTTTAAAAAAAATTTTAGAAAGATAAACTATTTCAAAATTTTAAGTTTTAGAGAGAGAGAGAGGATTTGCATTTTGTAAAAAAAGATATTTCAGGCAATCCAAATAAGGAATTTGCATTTTTTTGATTTCTACCGGATACGATCCAAACAGCATACACCATATTTCAGAAAATGTCAATTCCATTAAATCTCAATTCTAAGATTAACTTTTCCCAGGATTGAAAAATCCAGGGATCCTAACAGGCCCAAAGGGAATTTGAAAATAGACACATACATATACAGTATCTAGTTAGTAAAGAGCATCAAGATATGACATAAAACTTTATGTTCTGCCTGCCATTCAATCGTTTCTTTCTCGATTTAATTTACACTTTACATTATATTCTCTATTGTGCCTTGCATTCTATTCTCTCTTGTGCCTTAATTACATTTTAAGGCCATGATAACTAGCAAATACAATTTTATTGTGAGAGAACAAATTCGCGATAAAAGGATACAAACATGGGGAGTCGAGGCGTCCACCATACACCAAAAGCCGGAGATAACCAACAGAAAAACTCTCTCTCTATATCTACTAGAACTTTGTTACATTCACTAAAATCAATAACCAACCTCTTTACAATTAATGACTTGGATTCATTACTGTCATTGCGGTTTTAAAAGATAAATCATAACGCCTTATTTCCATGATCGTTATCTAAATATAATAATGGACTTTTAACTCATACCAAAGTTATTAACAAAGGGAAAGTATATAATGCGATCATTTACTTTTGGTATAAGGTGATCACAATAAATCTTAACAGTTGGATGTGAAATTGGGTAACTACATTTATTTCATTAAACAAGATCAAAGTTGAAAAGAGTTTTTGTCAAACATTGTAACACACCCAAGCTATTGTATTTCACTTCGGATGGTTGTAAGTAGTTGTAACCTCTTTATTCGAAAAGTAAATGGTCTCATTGTATACAATCTCATTAATAAAACACACTTATCCTTCTTAAAAGAAAAGGAGCTCCAATTCATGTTACTTTCTCAAACAAAAAAAAAAGATAATCTTTTCTAGAAAAACACTCATACCTAACAAAAGGATTTATCTTTCTACACAAAAAAAAAAAAGAAAGTACATTCTATAAAAAATGGACTTTATCAAACTAACCCAATAAAACACATACTAATTTTATTTCTATCAATTAACCACAATAATAAAAACTAAAAATGCACCCATAAAACATAAAGAATAATTAAGTCCCCTAAAACTTGAGAAGAATAAAACTACTGAAATTATAGAGTTTAGAAATAAGCTCCCTTAGTTCGTGAAAACTCGTTCTCGAGTTTAAAAATAAGCTAAGAGGAAATTTGTGTTAATCTTGCAACTTTATTCAATCCGAATATTGTAAACACGATCATGAAACTTGTGGATTACTGCATTAGTCAAAACCGTATTGAAATTAAAAGAGGTATTGAATTTGAAAAACCCTAGAGGAAAGAGTCAATGTATATCGATACAATATGTTTGGCCACATATGTTGAAATTGAATCAATTTATCCATGTAATCTTGTTGAAATTGCTCGTGCTCAGCCTAAAATATATCAAAGGAGCATATTCAAGATTAATACCTTTAAATACTGAACTAACTTCGGCTATTGATTCTCTTTTGAATCCTTCAGTTTTTTCCATCAAATATCAATTCAACAATGAAATCTTGTAATCATTGTAGATCAGATCTATTGCAGGATTGTATTTATCATCTAAGTGTATATCAAAAATTAGTGACTGATCTTAATGTACAACTTGCTGATTTTCGATATGACCAACTCCAAAATCAACCTTGTTCTCCTTCAAAATATGTAGATCAACTGTAATGTTGGAATATTGTGATCTACTCTCTCGAATATAAGGCTCCCAATGTGGAGCGTATACATAAAGTGGGTTCTCGAAGGTAGCTTTTGACTCATTACCATCACCGTAGTATGTTCGGGCAGGGTTTTGCACTAAGCGTTAGGTCAACTCCTCATTTTACCTTCTATATCAATGTCTTGCAGGTTTTGTTCTTGCAGGATGCGTTCATTCCCGATACCTAGCTATCGAGCATGTCCACCACCATGATCTGATAAGAACCATCGGTGAGCACCATGATCTGATAAGAACCACTACTTTGATACCACCTGATACGGATGAAAGTTTATCGGCAAAGATCCGACTGAGAAAAAAATGTGACTTAAAAAAAGAAAAAAAAAAAAAAAAAAATTAACAACCGCATAAAATCGAGACCTCAACCACGTACCACACGCAAAAGATGACCACCGAAAAAGTTCTCTCCACATTCACTAAAATCAAAGGCCACTCTCTTTACCATCGACAACTTACACTCATAACCACCACCGTGTCTCTAAAAGATAAAAATGTATTTTCATGTTCCACCGTGTCTCTAAAGGATAAAAATGTATTTTCATGTTCCTTATACAAAGATAAAGAATGTACTTTCAACCCATACAAAAATAGTAATAAAACACACCTACCTTCCATAAAGGAAAGGAACTCCAATTGACTCACGTAACTTTTCTAAAAAAAATTAAACATCCAAATAAAAACAAAAGATAAGCTTTTCTAAGAGAATACTCCTACCGAACAAAGAGATTTATCCTTCTACAAAAAAAAAAAAAAATCCTTAAAAATTGGCTTTATTAAACTAATCCAAAAAATCCATGCTAATCAATTAACCCTAATAATAAAAAATAAAAATATACCTATAAAAAATAAAGAAAAAAATAACTCCCATAAAAGTCCAAAAAAATCTTCAGTAATTTCCTTCATTTTTTTTTTCTTTTTCTGAATGTTTGATTTCCTTATCTTCAAATCGGGAACACAGCCAAAAGGTTTTATTCATCTGCAATGGGAAACAAAATCTATATTATTTATTAATTTTCAAATCGCAAATAAAAAAAAAGAGTATTCTGTTTAGTGTTTGGATTGATATTGCATGGCCAAGGAGCTAAATCGATTCTCAGAAGGAAAATAAAAGGGTTTCGAACTATGAAATGAGATTTGCTATGGATAAAGAGAAAGAGAAAGAGAAAGAAAAGAAAGAGAGAGTACGAAGAAGCAGCGTAGAGAGAGAAAGAAGAAGAAGCGTAGAGAGAAATAGGAGAAAGAGAGAGAGGGTGGGCCCGCAACCGTCAAATCTAAAGATGGGGAACAACTGACGATCTGAGACAAAAGGAAGGGTCTTGTACTGCTCCCACTGCTAGAGAGAGGCACGACAGCCCATGGCCCTATCTGCAACTCTCTATCTGTCTCTTTCTCTCTCTTCCCCCTCACTCTCTTTCTTCAATAAATATTCGTCCGGATAGTGAGAGAGACGCCCATCGATGTGCTTTTAGTGAGATAAACTGATGCTTGAGATGTGAGAGAAAGAGAAGAGAGCCTTAAGTGCTTTTACATCTTGTGGCCCCTAATCAAATTCTCAAATACCAGGAGGGTCCACGCATTTCATTTTCATCCCAAAGGCTTTTGACAATGTCAAATAAAAAAAAATTCTTTTTTTTTTTCTCTCTCGCAAAGAGAGAAAAATTTATAAGCCGAGGCTCTGTACAATCAAATTAGAATCTACCTCAAATAATTTCACTAAAAAAGATTGTTTTGGTATCCAAATAGTTCATTTTGACATGAGGATGCATGAATATGAGACAAAAATAGGTTTCACTTTTTGGAAATACTGGTGGCTAATTTTTGGACGGTCAATTTTTTTTTTTTAAGTTTTAAAAATTTGTTTGATTTAGTATAGTTTTTAAGTTTTAAATTTTATAATTAAAAATAAAAATATATTTTTAAATTTCAAAAAAATTCTCAGTATTTAATCCACATTTTTGGATGCTATTTGAAGATGCGCCGATCGTTTGAGCCAGGGCTCTATACAAAACCGCACCCTAATGAAAAACTTCTTTTCCTTTCTCTCTCTAAATAATAATATGGAGTTATGGACCCAGTCAACTCCATATGAGGTTCTGTTTATTTAACTTGGTTTGGAGGGTAGGTGTCCGACAAAATGGGCATTTTGGGTATTCGAAATGGGACATAATGGAGGGATGCATCATGAACATCATACATGGATGAGTTCCTCCTCCACTTTTTTATCAGGGTACGGTCCCTCCATGTAGAATGGCGAGGTTTTTTGTAGAGAGAGAATCAAACACTGCAGTCTTTCTCTCTCTCTCATTGGGAAGGCAAGCGTGCAGGCACCGCAGTGTGGCTAATGGTGTGGGTTCCTCCTCATGCAGTCTGCAAGAGCAGGGGGAAATGGACCCTCTGATTATTCCCCTTATTATAATTATTAGTATCTCTTTCTCTCTCTAGGGATTCTCTTTCGCTCTCTATAAAGTAAGCGGACCGACAGTATTCTCCTGCAAGAACCCGGACCAAAAGTTTCTCAATTTCTAAAGCGAGGGGTGCGGGGGGGTCTCTGAAACAGCTGGAGAAAGTGACTGGGAAGAGAGAGAGAGAGAATGGAGGGTCAGAGTTCTTGCTTGTTTGGATACAGCGCCATGATGGGTTTTGGAGAAAACAATAACAGTAGTAGTAATAATAGCAATAACAATGATAATCGTAGTAATGGAGGAGGAGGAGGAGGAGGGGGGTGTTTTGGTGGTAATGCGATGATGATTGTGACACCTTCGAGCCCTCCGGTTTTGCAGCGTCCTGCTCATGGAGAAGAAGCGAATAACAAAGACAAAAAGAGTAATGACAGTTGTTATATGGTAGAGGATGAGACCTCCATGAAAGCGAAGATCATGGCTCACCCCCACTTCGCCCGCCTGTTGAACGCATATGTAAACTGTCAGAAGGTAGTGAGAAAAGAGAGAGGAATTGATTTCTGGTTTTTTATATGGTTTGGGACTTTGGACAGAGAGAGTGACTGTTAACTTCTTGTGCATTTTACTGTATTTTTTCATGTGTAGTAGTTGATTTCTTGTTTTTTGGTTTGGGTTTGGAGAGAGAGAGAATTGTTTTGATTCCTTGTTTCTGATATAGTTCTTGTGTGCCGGAAGGAAGAATGGTGTACCCATCTACCATAGCTGATATGGAAAGGGAGAGAGATTAATCACATCTGATAGGGGTATATTGAGAGAGAAATAATGTCGTTTCTGATATGGATTTAGAGTGAGAGTGATAGGGTAGAGACATGGTGCAGATTCTTTTTTTTTCTGATAGAGAGAGAGAGAGAGAGAGTCGTTTTATATGAATTTTGAGGGAGAAGGGGAGGGGAAGAGCGGTATTGGGTTCGTCGTCTAGAGAGACTGGTGGAATTCACTTTTCTGATTTGGGGGGGAAAGGGAGAGATGGAGTTCTCGTTCTGATATGGGTTTTGTTTACAGAGAGTGATGGAATATGGGTTTTGTTTAGGGAGAAAGAGTGATGGAATTCTCGTTTCTGGCATGGGTTTTGTTTATAGGGGACGGGGGGAGAGATGGAATTCTTGTTTTGGGTTTAGAGAGAGATGGGGGAAGATGGAACTCTCGTTTCTGATGATATGGGTTTTGTTAGCGAGAGAGAGAGAGAGGTGAAATTCATTATTCTGGTTTCTGGTATGTTTTTTATTCCTGTATGGGGCACGCTCGGCTTTTTGCAGGTCGGAGCGCCTCCTGAGGTGGTGGCTCAGCTAGAAGAGGTGTGCGTAGCGGCTGCAGCCGCCTCCAAATCCTCTTCAACAACGGCAGCGGCAGCGGCGGCGGCAGCAGCAGCAGCAGCAAGAGGAGGTGAGGAGGAGGAGCCAGCACTGGATCAGTTCATGGAAGCCTACTCAGAAATGCTCACCAAATACGCGCAAGAGCTCACCAAGCCCTTGGAAGAAGCCATGCTCTTCCTCTCCAGGATCGATTCTCAATTCAAGGCCCTCACCTTAACTTCGCCTTCCCCCTCCTCAGGTAAAACCCTAACCCTAACCCTAAGAACCATACACACACAGATGCCTCATCAAAAACAAAAGGACCATCTTTATTAAAAACCATACTGAAAGCATATATATACGAGGTTTCAGTATATGGATTGTGAAATAAAAATAAATGGATATTTATTATTATATTGATGATTCTATTAGTAAGGATAAGTACCTTCTCTTTTACGTATCGTACGTGTGTGTATAAATTATAGATGCATGAGCGAGTAATAAATTAGTGAATACGTGCATCTGCCTGCACACTGCAAATGTGCACTCTCTCTCCTCTTCCTACGTATAATAAAAATGCTTCTTGTTCTTTGAACAAGCAGGATGAATGCTTCGGCAACAGAGCTATTACTGCTTTCTCTCTCTATCACGTAGAGAGAGAGAGAGACGCATATGATATGTTTGCAGTCCTCAAGATTTGTTGGTGGCCTTTACAATGCACTCATTTCGTGCACTGGTTGCAATGCCAGACCATATTAGGGTTAGGGTTAGGGTTAGGGCATGCTGCTGCATACCAGATTCTCGCCGTGGTGCCGTGGAAAGGGGCATGGCTGCTCAATCTATGAAGACATGCTTTTCTTCCTGTTCCTTATTTATTTTCAATGTCTTCAGACTACCTAGTTGTGTTGCGTCATTAATTTCCATCTAGAAAGTTTTATTCTTTGTTTTGGTGAACACCACCGATGAACTATTTTAGGTTTAGGTTTAGGTTTGGGTTTGGTTTGTATAAGGCTGAGGGCCTCAGATAATCAAAGTAAAGCACAACATTGAATAATGTCGAAAGTCTTTATGATGGCCTGAACATTTATTTTCATCTCCCGTTATAAAAATTAAAGCTTTGAGAATAGTGTAGATCAAACAAATCTTTTAACCCTTGAGAATTTTGAAAATTGACGGTCTAGATAATGCATTAAAAGATGCATTATGTCCAAGACTTGAAATATATTTTTTATATTCATATACCTCAAGGTTGAGATGATCAAATTTTAGGTTTTTCGGTATCAAAGCAACTTATTATGGTGAATTTTTGAGATACCCTTTAATGTGATTCTTTAGGGCCTCAACCTTATATGAACCTTTTCCTTTAGGTTTAGCTTTTGGTATATGTAGGCCATTGAGTGATCAGATCGATCTCAGGGGGTGGTGAAGGTGTTTGTACTTACAACCAAATCCTCCTCCTGTAGAACTTTGTTTATATTTCTTTTATGTATCACCACTGATGTGATGTCTAGAAATTTTGCATATTTGCTCTTTCTCCCTCCCCCTTTCTTGAAACAATAAATGGGGATAGATAGCTTCTAACCGTTGGTTTCTTTTCAATATATTATTTATTTAATGAAAGAATGAATCATGATAGTATCTCCATAACGATCCAATGCAACGGTTAAATCTCTGCTTCCAAATAAAGTAGTGATGCATACTTAATCATACCTTGATGGTCCACAATGTTTTAGATCTTGGTGTCAAGGTAGCCATCTAGCGTATGCTGTTGCCTAAGTAACTCCTAAAGAAAAAAGGAAAATGGTTTGATAGGGCTGCTGCCCTATCAAAAATAAGTAAAACCCCACCTCATAACTCATCAAAAATTGCAATTCAAACAATAAAAAACCTTTAAATATATCATCTCGGCTTGAATATTATGGTTGTGAAAGAAATTTAGGATTCAAGCTCAAAAAATAGTGTATATTGTAAAAAATTATCTAAACCGTCCATTTCACCCTAAAAATAAGTGTTTATAGATCCGCAAGATCTGTACCATTTTTAAGTTTTAAATTTTAGTGTTGGTGTTGGAAATTGATTTAAGAGCCATCATGAAGATTTCAGTTGCCAAAAGTGTTTTCGGGAAGAGGATTTGAGCTGAGGTTTTTTTTTGTTTCCATGAAGCCTGGGGCTTATAAAAGCCTCATCCATAAAAAAATTATATGAAATATAATTGCTATATTTACCACACCAAATTATATAAGAACAATTGTTTCATGCTAGCTGGACCGCATTTATACAATATGCAGTCCTAAGGTATAAAGCATCCATCTTAAAGATGGATGCAAATAGGTGGTCAATTGTAACTAATGGTCCAAATTTTTTTTTAATATGCTCCAAGCTAGTCGCAATAGATTATTAAAACGGTTCTTATTTCTAGTTTTCAAATTTTATTTATTTGTTCATATTCATGATCTCCATGCTAAAGATTATATATTCTCTTAAACTTTAAATCAAATTATATTTCAAAAATATTTTTATTGCCAACCGCATTTCTAAATGTACGGGCTTGGTCGCATGCTAACCGCGTCCATTATTTAATACAATGTCCTTGTGCTTTTGTGTAGATATAAGTGTTTCTACAAAGGACATGCTACATAATACCTTTGTACTTAATTGTATACATTTACACATGCAAACTTATGAATACAAAGGACCACACTTGATCTCAAAATGATCATGTGTATTCTCTCCAATTTGAACATGTCTAGAATCATTTGTGTGAAGATGCCAATGCTGTATTTAGTGCACTGCAAAAAAGTTATCATGGCAAGAAGATGGAGGCTCATTGCTAGCGATACTATCCTGTCACATGTAATTTCATGTTTCGATATGTTGTACTTACTACTCCATTTCAAGTTGGACTTTTTGAGTATTGATTCCCTTAATTGCACTATTATTAACTTTATTTATTTTATATCACTAATATTTTGATGCATAAATGATAGTTAGTTACTTTATTCTCTCATTTTGTGCCAACTATTTTTATGCCTATCATTCTCAAAAAAAAAAAAAAACAACTCTTTTTATGCCCATCAAAGAAAATCGAAAAACAAAAGTAGTTTCGCTGACTACTGAATGCTTTTTTTACGATTTTAGGTGGAGATAACTTCAGATATCGACAATAATGAGAGCCATGAGATTCTTCTTCCTATTTAAGAGATTATTGGCCTTGTAGTTTTAGTGGACTTTGATTTCCCATTGTGTAGTTTCCATTATTTCAACCACTTTTATCTGTATTACTTTTTTTTTTTTAATGCGATGAGCATTCCATAGAGTATAATATGTTTTCTTGGGCAGATATATAAATACAGTACATGCATTATTCCTCCTCTGATTAACAATGCTCGTCTTGTCAGTAATCTTGAGGTCTCTGGCAAAAAACACTTAAGTTTAATCTATTTTTGACAATTTATTTTGGATTGGATATGAATTTTTTCTTGTTTGACAATATCATAGTGGTATGAAAGGCATCATTATTGGATTACTAGAAAGGATGTGGGGCATGGGGATAAATGATGCTCGAACCAACTTAATTCTTCGTATTAACACTTCACATGCTAGATTCTCATTTTTTAATTTTTGCTTAGATCAGCGGAGAAAGGTCTCCTACCTGTGGTAGGAATCTAACTCAAGACGTCATAATGCGTTACCCCATCACCTTGAGCACCTCTGTATGCCTTGAGTCCATTCCTTTGGCTCTCATGAATAGTATATTTTTTGGAAGCAAATTGATTGATACTAACATGCTGTAAACTCCTCGTCTATTAGTTTTCTGAACTTATCCCAAGGCATGCCCCCCTTTCCTTTTCCATGTTCATCATTTTTTACTTTCCTCTTCTCATTATGGAAGTAAGAAGCTTTATGCATCCATAATTCTTTTTTTTCCATTGAGTTTTGATTTCATTATCAGTTGTATGCAAAGAAAGTATAGTTGGGTAAAGCTTCTTTGTTTTTTATTGAGTTTTGATTTCATTATCAGTTGTTCACAAAGAAAGTATAGTTAGGCCTTACTAGGGATGAAAATAAGATATTCTTGGTTTATTTGTGGTCGTTACAGCTGGTTGAATATGGTTGAACGGAATGAGCTGAATCATGGTCAAATCATATACCCAAATTAGAAGAAAGTCTTCAGTTTCTTCCTTCCGCACTCTCCCCATTCCTCTAATTTCTATGATTATACTACAAGACCATTTACCATTGTTACAAGGAGATCACCATCACTCCTACGCATTAGATGTTAAATTGGATGGCCTAGTATGTGTTATGAAATTCAAGAAATTTTTTTTCTTTGAACTTTGAGTTTAATGAATAACACACAACCATCGTTTTAAAATTTGACGGACAAGAATGATTGTGACCTCCTTATACTAATACTAAATGGTATCTTTGTATGCTTTTACACTTTCTGTTTTAAGTTTCCCATGGGACTTAAATATTGGGAAAAGGATGCTCACCCCCCTTTGGCAGACTTCATTCAGCATACACCCTCGGAACTATGGAAAACCCGTGGATCCCTCCAAACTTTTAATAACAAGACATTAAACCCTCTCCCTCGCATTTTTACTATACAAATTATTGTTTTAACCTCATTCTTTATTCTATTCCCACCTTTAACCCATGAAACTCCTCTCTTTATTTTTTTTCCCATCCTCTACACATACTCTCCCTACCTCTTTCATCATTTTCTCTCTTTATCGATTTCTTCAAGCTCTCTCTCCTTGAATCAATGGAGAGAGAGGGCTAAGTGGTTTGGTAGGTATAACTAGAGAGAGAGAGAGAGAGAGAGAAAGAGAGAGAGAGAGAGAGAGAGAGAGAGAGAGGAGGTAGGAGGTAGTAGTAGTAGTAGTAGTTAGTAGTAGTAGTAGTAGTACGGTAGTAGTAAGTAACGTAAGTAACGTAAGTACGTAACGTACTAGTAGTA